TCTTGAAAAAACTAATAATAAATATTGTTCTTGAATTTGAATAGAATTTTTTTCAATTTAGCTATTTTCTAAAACATGATTCCCTATTGACATCTTTCGATAGAAAATTTCAATTTTTCTATGACAGAAAAAAGTTTGAAATTTCATCTCTGTTGACAGGTTAGGAAATGTCACTTTTCATAAATTACTTTTTTCTCAAAGGAAAAAAGTGAGTATCACATAATATGCTTTTGTGCTATAGTTCCGAAAAATAAGCCAATAACAGCCTCCGAGAAAGAACTGCAAGTCCTTTTAACTTCCATTCGACTTTGCGGTTACGTAAATTACTAAAATATTATAATTTCATGTTTAATTATGTACTCTGTATATTATCATTAGGTACTTTCATGTCATGTATTAAGGGTGCAAATATTTTGGTTCTCTGAACATTACAGGATATGAGTGAGGGTTGCTGGGCTGTGTACACGTGTATATACCTATACCAAAGAAAGGAAGATTTGTATCTTGCACAAAATACAAATCTTTCCTTTTTTGATATTACAGGATATCCCTTTTCGTGGGAACCAGATCATAAAAAAAACAATGTGGTCAAGCAGCCTCGATATTGGAATAATAAATTCAATAGATTCCTGAAAAATTTTGGTTTTCGACAAAGTCAAGTTGACTGTGTATGCAAGGGCGAAATTGAAAATTAGAAAATATTGCTGGTGATTTTCGTAGATGATGGACTCATTTTTTCAAAAAGTGAATCTGCAATAGCAATTGTTCATGATCAGGAAGATGGATCAATATTTATTCACCAAACAACAAAATTAGTCTCGAATATTGCTGAATACATACCGTACAGACATACGTTTTCACTTTGTCAGAGAAACAGTATAACATTGTGAAATTGTGAAAACAATTTATGTACCAAGTAGAGAACAGGAAGCAGATGTATTGACGAAGCCTTTACCTGCAAGTATTTTTCAAGATAAACGGAAACTGATAGGTATAGGTTCCAGGAAATGAAAGGAATATATTTACATCATTTTTTATTTGAAAACACTCGATTAATGGGAGCGTTGAGTTTGTTATAATTTCATGTTTGATTATGTACTTCAGATACATGAGATGAAAAGTAATGATAATATACAGAGAGAAATTATAATAAACTCAACACTTCCACTAATTGAGTGTTTTCAATTTAATGAAATAATTTGGTTGTTATATAAAAAACAATTATTATTATTGATTAAAATAATTTGTCAACGATAAGTTACATCTTGATCATTCTTTGAACTCTGCTCTTCAAGTAGCAGAATAATAGATCCACCGTAATGCCTCTTAACAACTTGTCCTCCCGTTTTTCAATTGGGCTGGGATCCAAGAAATAGGAGAACAAGAAATAGTTGATGATTTAATGGATACAAAATAGAAAAGTACCCTTTCAAATAACAAATTATGTATTTTTAAATTTTGTGCAACCTTATTTTCGAAACATCTAGAGTTGACTGAAGACAAAAGGTACCGAAGAAGATAAAATGTAACAAAGTTCTATGCGGAAACTCCAAATACATTCGGTCCTACTCATTTTTTCCTGCTGTTTCCAAATTTGTAAATGAAATTTCAAAATATTGATATAAAGGGTATTATTTCTACTCAAAAACTACTTATTAATTTGTTCAAGGCCAGACCTGGAATACGACTTTTATTATTATGTCAATCGTCACCACTGTGAACGAAGACATAGGAACAAAATATCACACAAATATATAGGGTGGTTCATGAGTTCAAGTGTTTGGGATCACACGTTAAAAGGCAAGGCCCCCGTCATTCCTAGCTCGCACAAGACTCTCGAAGACTTCTGAGGTTTACTCGTAAGGGGGCAACCGAATGACGGATAGAACAATTTCAATTTCAGTTATGATTATTTGAAAAAAATTGGAAAATGGATAAATCTCCATGTATCTTGATTATAAAGAGAGACCATAAAATATAGATTATTTAGAGCACCTCGGTGTCCTCCATTTAGCCTTACTGTATGTGCATATATCCCAATGAATCACACTGTATAAGGGCGCCACAGACCACATCTTTTCATCTTTTGGAGCACATGCATGATAATCCCTATCATGTTCATGGAACATCGTGCCTCCCTAGGGACGATAGGAGGAGGGTATTGTATTTATTCTTTGGGAGATAACAAGTTGTTCGGAATATTTTCTCGAACAAAAGTTGATGTACAGGGTGTCCAAATTCGAGGGGTGTCCTTGGGATCTCGGTATTAAACATAACAGATACAAAGTCGGTTAAATTGCGGCAAAGTTGCGCACTTCAATTCTGTTCAAAATGCCGCCTCAAAAGTTTGAAAATTCCGAATGCTTCCGAAGTATTTGGAAAAAAACCGAACATCCGCGATTTCGTTTCAATTTTTTTCTGACTTAATTTGAAGTGACAAAAGGAGTTTTATATTATCATTGCCACTTTTTCCGCTCTATCCAATGGTATCAATAGATTTGTGAACCGACGTTCCGCCTTCGAGGAGTCATCATCAACTTTGCTTTTTTAAATAGGTATTGGAAAAAAAAATTTGTAGCTAAAAAATTCAAATACCAATTCTGAATCCAATGACATTATACACTTTAAAATTATCCGAAGTTTCGGACCACGAAATTATCGTCAGTTTTATTCGATGATGGTTACAAGGAAACGAAACTTCAGATCAAAATTCTGATTACGGCATCTTGTAGAGTGGAATCTCTTTTGGTAAAATCAGAAAAAAAATATTTCTTAGAATTAGAAACTTTGAGAATAACTTTTTATTTCATTTTCAGATTCAGTGAAGTTTAGATAGTCAACATATTAAAGATCCTGATATCTAGAAGGTGAGCAGGAGGAGGGGGGGCACTAGGAGGTTTCACTTTTAGGCTTGTCGCGTATAGGTCGGAAACGATTCGTCGTAAAAGCTTTCCTGGTATCAAATGAGATCTGATTAAATTCTCCACAACTTTCTTTCTATACACTTCATTCGAATCCCTAAACGTTTTCAAGCTGCACGCTCCTGAAAGTACAAATTTTTGAATAGAAAAGCAGCAGTTCCAAAGTATTACGAATTAGGAAAGGACCCCACACAACACCATAGGGAATTGGCCCACAGTGGGATTTGCCTGAAATTCACCTATGTTTTTGGTATGGAGTTTCTGATCAAATGTCTTCATGTGAAAAATCCTCCAAGACCAAAGATTCAGCTGTCAGGGCCGTATTTAGTATAGGTGCCAAATAAACAATGACACTTTTTTTTAAAGCCCATGATTTTTGTATCTTCCATTATGATTTAATTGAATGAGAAATGTTGCGAAATCTTGGCATTTGTCTTTCAGCACAAGTCCTCTCTAAAACATGCCTTGTCATACAGGACCGTATTTAGTAAAACTGTATTTGCCAAAGTGCCGAATCGAATTGATTTTGTTATTACTTTCTCATTTCTCTTCCTATTTCAGTGGTTGTTTGATAGATGAATGTAGATTTCTTTGTGCACATAACAAAAGTGGTCACCATCTTAATATTCAAGATGGTCGGCCTAACATTTAATCTTTATGTAGGACATATCTCGTAACTTTTCTTGGACTCATAGTAACAGAAAAGGTAAGAACACGTTTCGATTGTTGAAATCGGTCATTTACTTTTTCAATTACCTGAAATTGTTCTAAAATTCATCTAATTCATTACTAATAAAGTTGAAACCGATATTTACAGGGTGGTGAACAAAAAAGTCGAGCACTCACTATCAACATAATTCCCGAACACTTCCAGCTGCTTGAGTATTGCATCTTGCACTGGACGATTTGTGGCATCTTTAATATGCTGTAACACAGAAGTCGATGGATAATTCACATTTTGATTATGGCGGGCAAATCCTAAATACCATAATATACTACAAATATGAGCACATGTTTCTAGTGGCCTTGCCCCTGATTTGCAACTGCAGTAGTATCCTATTATCAATACATCTTCTTCATTATTCTCATCTGGTTTTCATGCGGAGTGTATTGAAAAAGTAAATGACCGATTTCAACAATTGAAATGTGTTCTTATCTTTTCCTGTTACTATGATTCTAAAAAAGCTACGAGATATGTCCTACATAAAGATTAAATGTTAGACCGACCATCTTGAATATCAAGATGGTGACCACTTTTGTTATGTACACAAAGAAATCTACATTCATCTATCAAACGACCACTGAAATAGGATAAGAAATAAAAAAGTAATAACAAAATCAATTCGATTCTGCACTTTGGCAAATACAGTTTTACTAAATACGGTCCTGTAGGACGAGGCATGTTTTACAGAGGACTTGTGCTAAAAGACAAATGCCAAGATTTAGCAACATTTCTCATTCAATTGAATTATTATGGGAGATACAAAAATCATGGGCTTGAAAAAAAAAAGTGTCATTGTTTATTTGGCACCGATACTGAATACGGCTCTGAGAGCTAAATCTTTGGTCTTAGAGGATTGGTCACATGAAAACATTTGATCAGAAACTCCATACCAATAACATATGTGAATTTCAGGCAAATCCCACTGTGGGCCAATTCCCTATGGTTTTGTGCGGGGTCCAATGGGTCAGGAGAGAAAGCTGTAGAGAACTTAATAAGTGACAAATCTAAAAACAAAACCTACTCACTGACTCTTCCTCTCCGGCTAGCCTCCTAGACGTCAACACTTTTAATAGATTGACTTCCTAAGCACCCAAAATAAGTTTTTACAGAAATCACTTGAGTTCCTGATCATGCACTGTACCCCTCCTTAATTGACTGGACTAATGGAATAAAATGTGACTGCATTCAGAGAAGAAAACAGGATAAGCCTACGCGTACTCCAAATATTTTGTCTTAACGGACTTCGACATTAAACATGGAATAATGTGGACATTAAATCTTGATCCACAAAGATATGAACTTAGAATAGTCTAGTTCTCAGACAATTAAATACGATTGGTGGATGGGATGCTCACCTGTTACTTTGGTTAAACTGGCGGCCACCGCAGCAAAATTACTGGTAACGACAGTAAGCTGTTGGACAGGCGGAGAAACGCTATCTCTGACCACCGGAGCAGTCACAGACGCCAACGTTGCCGTCGCCGTCGGTTTGCTGGGCGTTGTGCTCGGCTTACTCGAAGGTACACAATTGTGCAAGAGAATCGAATTGATGGTGCTGGCGGTGGACGTTATCATCATTGGAACGGACGTTGTGACTGCTAGCACAGGGGTTGGTTTCACGGGCTGAAAAATAATGTAAGAAATATTAATTCCTGGAGATTACAGAAAATTGATTGATTGCAAAAACTCATTTGTTCCGGAAATCCAAAAGATGGTTTTTGTAGATCTTCACCAACCACATTCACATATGATAAATTGGGATTAAACATTTTCGTAGTAATTCAGGAAGCGTCATACGTGCCAGAACAAGAAAATACCCTCATCCAACTATAACACTCGATCGTCACAACAATCTACAGCTTGGATGTTGAGTCATTGAACGTTAAGTCCGTTATCCGTAAATTGAAGATATCATTATAATGTTAAAAATATGGTTTATTGAGAACAAATGATTATTATCATGTGCTGTTTGATAGTATGGAACAAATGTCACACTGACCGCTAATGATCACAGTTGATTCTAAGATATCTACTGAAACACGTTCACTGATTCAATAGGAAATGTGATGAAAAGATATATATCTTGTCAGCGGAGAATATCTGATCTTGCGCGAAAGTCAACTTGTTATAAATTGCTTTCAAAAAAATAATATCAGAAAAAAAAATTATGCCTTTTGAAACAAAAGGGTTTGCAAGAGTTTAAATTGGGAAAAAAATTGTTGGTGTCACCTTGAGGTATCTCACAAGTCATTACATTACCTTTTTGGTTTTTCAGAATCGGATAATGAATAGCAGCACTATGGCTTTGGGTGTTTTTTGTCAGTTAGCCTGTCTAGGTACTTTAGAAAATTACTTGTTTCTGTTCACACATTCATCATAATGCATACATGTTCATAACAAAAAATATATGAAATGAATGTACTATCATGGAGTTCTTCACGCGAAATAGCGTGACTCAATCATAAGGAAATGCTCCACGCGAAATTAACGTGGACCAATCAAGAGAGAATGATCCACGCGAAATGTTGACGTCACTACCTTCATGACGCATTTCGCGTGGATAAATTCTGAAAACAAGATCCACTTTAGCGTGGTTTTAGACATGGCCTTCTAATAATCATGGCTCGCAGAATCATAATCATAATCATCTTCATTATTCTCAAGAAACAAATGTAGCGCCTTCATAAACTCATGGGACTATTTTGGCCACACACCATTCGGAGAATTTTCATAAAACTTATAGCCTATTTTAAAACGATAAACCTACATTTGATTGATTTTCTCATTGTTTATTCCTTTCAATCATCATCAGTTTCTATTATAGTCTTTTTCAATCTATTCTGGCTTATATGGCATAATAGGCTGGGGAGGTCTATATAAACAATCGTTGAAACCACTTATATCGATTCATCAGGCGGCTCACTGGTCGAGAGAGTGAAGGCGCCGAGTTCGTATGGGGACTCCCACCGAGACATAGGTTCGAATTCTAGTTAGGCCATGGATGTTTGTGTTTGTATGCTTACCTAACCCTGCACAAGTTTTGACTTATGGGGCGTTTGGTCCCAGTGCTGGGACCAACGAGGTAATGCAATTGCAAAAAAATATACCTTGAATATTATCTTCAAAAAACCTTTGTATTATTCTTCCAAAATCTTCTTTGAACATTATAACATTCTTTCTGCTGATCAATTGTTTTATAAAACGTCAACAATATACATAAGAAAACATTTACAAAACTATAATCACGTAAAACATAAATATGACACAAAAAATAAAATTGATGGTTGGATATCAACTTAGAAATTCTCTTCAACTATAATGCAACAACATGCCATTTAGGTAAGAAAATTTTCAATAAATTGCCTCCTTCTTTGTGAAAGAATCAGTTTTTTTGGATTAAAAAAAAATCAAATCGTGGTTGATTGAGAATTTAGAAATTTTGGAAATTTGATTATAAGATAAAATACTTATGCAACATATCATGTTCTTTATAGTTATTTTCAGATAATATAAAAATGTATTTATTATGTTAATTGTACAGGGTGGCCAACTAAGAATCCAGAGTTCGATACCTCTGTTGCCTTGAGAGATACAAAAAAAGTTTTGCATTCAAATAAAAGTGATAACCGAGCTTCACATTTCAAAATTTCTTTGAAATACACAGGGTGTTCCGTAAGGTCACAGCACATCAAAGCTATGTTTTTTTCATTGGAACACCCTATATTTTATTTCATTTTTGGATTCTCCCTGAAGATCTGATTTCAACGATGTATCATACTCAGGGTCTAGCAGTGAAAGTTACTGACATATAGGGTGAGCAAAATCGAGATTTTTCCAAGTTCAGGATTTTATTCTGTCGAAACTGTTCATTATTCGTCAAAACGGTTTACATGTCCCTATCTCAACTTTTCACTCACTATCAATTGGTGTTCAATTGACATTCAATTGAAACAAATTATAAATTCAGATTTTTGACCACCTTGTATCAATTTCAATTGAACACCAATTGATATTGAGTGAAAAGTTGGGATAAGGACATGTAAACCGTTTTGACGAATAATGAACAGTTTCGACAGAAAAAAATCCTGAACTTGGAAAATCTCGATTTTGCACAGCCTATATGTCAGTAACTTTCACTGCTAGACCCTAAGTATGGTGGGTCGTTGAAATCAGATCTTCAGGGAGAATTCAAAAATGGGATAAAATATAGGGTGTTCCGATAAAAAAACATAGCTTTGATGTGCTGTGACCTTACGGAACACCCTGTGTATTTCAAAGAAATTTTGAAATGTGAAGCTCGGTTATTACTTCAATTTTGATACATGAATTTTTTTTTGTATCTCTCAAGACAACAGAGAAATCGAACTCTGGAGTCTTAGTTGGCCACCCTGTACTCAATGAGAAAATGAATTTTAGTAAGTCAGTGTAAGGAAAAAAACTATAAATGATCATGGACAAGTTTTAAACTTTTTTGATCATGTTTATATTATAAAAAAATGTATATTATTATTATTAATATAGTACGCTGATATGTATGTTATTTTAAAAATGAATAAAATAAAAATACATGAAAATAATTAAATATTCTTAGAAATAGGTATTTTTTTGTATATTCGTTATCAAACCTAAAATATTCAACTTCAATATTCCCTTAGTTCAAAATGCTTCAAGGATTAATGCAAAAGGGCGTTTATTCGAATTCTCCAATTCCTACCTACACTCATACAACTACTTTTTTCTACGGTCCTCAAGACAATACACTCATTAGTAGCAAAAATCCATTTTATCTCAATTTGTGAAACAACATCATGTCATTGCACAACATCTGAATACATATAGATTAAAAAAACATATTCTTGTTGTTGCTCACCTTTGGATGTTCTCTACATACAGCTTTCTTATCCACTTCATTCGAACTATCGCTGGAATGATTATTTAAATTCGTAGGGTTGCCTATCGTCGGAGGTGGAGAGGAAATAGGCGATGACCCTGAAATAATTGACGTTGGTGTGCCCCCCGTTTCGTTACTATCTGTCGTTGCCGATGAAGGCAATCCAACACCAGACAATTCAACTTCATCCATGCCAATGATGTCATCATAGATAAATTCATTATCTTCGAAGTCAGGTTCAGTATTGAAATCTATGTAGTACTCAACATTGTCTTTTATGTTTTTAATCTGAAAATTGTAGCAAAAAATACGACTCAATATATTTTGTCGAGAGTACATAAATTAATTCCCGTTCCAGTACATACACGGGACCCATACTATTTTATTTACCCTTGTGTCAGGAGTGTTGTAAATACAAATTTTTCATTATTTCAATCTGAGAATAAAATAGTTCTGATTACAATTACCAATTTTTCGAAACCTACTCATCCTCATTTTCAAGTTGATATGTTATACACTAAAAAAAAATTGAGCTTTGAAGTTAGTTTGAATACATATCATGGAAGATTCTGAATCAAACTCCACCACCAAAGTGTGATCGAGATACGATAAATTGAGTATATTGCCTTTCTTATATTTGTAATATTGGATGAGAACTTTTCTTTCGAAAATTGAATTCGACATTATATTTTGAAGTTAGTTTAGTTATTTACTGCTGTTATTGAATAATGTATTTAACAACACTCATAACAATTATTGTACAAAACCTTCCACCTGGAATAATTCATTTGAGAAAATCATATTCAATAAAGATTAGAGATGAATTGACTTTGAACCCGTAGTTGTATAATGGTTCAGGGCGCTAACAAGAAACTTGAACAGCAGTTCTTGATTATTTGATCTGTTGAAATTATGTTGGGTGCATTTTTCTGTCAGGGTGAGATATACCATTCCCAACACACTAAGTGAACTCAGAATTTTACTCTTTTTCGAAAACATGTATTATCTGAAATAAATAGTCAATTCATTTCCGGCTTTCAGAATCAGATGTGATATTTCATCGAATTCAAGGACAGGTACGATAATAAGACAAAACTATAAAAGAAAATTACACAAGGTGTGAAGTATAACCATTACACTATGATATATGTATGCGATGCTGTCTGGCATCTGAACATTTTTTCTAATGGAAAATCACATCCTCGGTCACATTAAAACACATTGGGACTTCATTTCATGATGTTTATGAAATTCCTAAGTTGAATTCATGTGAAAAAACTATTTTTATGTTGTTTGAGGCTCAATAAAAAACTAATAAAGCACCAATGCAGAATCCACAGGGTGGATGGAAGCGTTACAAATTAAGAATGTTCAATAAAATATGAAACCTACGATTAGCACTTTTTATGTTCCAAACTCCAGGTACTTCCAATATAAACCATTAAGAGTAAGCCCCATGTTTGATGAAGGAGCATACTGTGAGCCTCATACTGGGCACTAGATCAGAGGAAAAAATTGTAATAAAAAAAATCACATCCTGTAAGTAATCAGATAGGACCTTTCAGAAACAGTTCGAGTTATAACGATACAGATAACGAACATCGTGATGGCCGTTTCTGAATATCTTGAATCGAACGGGCCATTTCATCGCGTTTTCTTCAATCATCGTACTGGTTCGAACTTTTTTCGCACTGAGCACAATCTTCGTGGTCCACTTGAAATTTCGACAGTCGACCAATGTCGAGACATGATTTCTACGGGCTTGTATATTCGCATACACCCGCCCAGTTAGAATTTTCCAAACCCTGCTTGAGCGACTGTGCGATTCGAGATTCTCATAAACTACTAAGATATTTGGGTGTTATTCATAGATTCTTCGACCGGATGATGATTAATAGTGATGCAGAATTGATCGAAATATAGGAGTTAGCTTCAAAGTGAGTGGCAGATACAAAATATTCCCAAAATACTACAAATTTTGTATCCGATTATTTCAACGACAGTCTCCAAAAATTCCACTTTATCAAAGTGAGTGGGTCTATTTGGACTTCCACTGAGACGCCTAAGAAACTATTGTAGGTCAGAAATACCAAAGTGCATCGATAGCAAACAAAAAAGAATAACTCATCATTCAAACCTACCTGAAAGTTCCTTCCAGGGAATAAAACTTGCATTAGAGAAGTTTCTGATAGATTTTGTATGAAAAAAAAAATCTCAATTTGACAATATCCGAGTCATTGCCATTTTAGTTGAGGCTGCTCCAAGCGTGATTAATTTATTCAATTTTGATTTCCACTGCTCTGTGCTGGAACCGCACTATATAAAAGAACCGAGCCAGTGCCACTTGAACTTGCCGTATGCTAATTTTTACTAGGAATCGGCTTTTGTGAATATTTTTCTAATTTGTTTGTAACCTGCTTATGTACCTGCTATAGTGATTCATTCGTCAATAGTAAATATTTACTTTTTTGTAGAAATGAAAAATCAATATATTATGCATGAAACTGTCATTTTTCATACAATTGCGAATTGGGAAAAAATCCATTAACATCCCGATATGAACTACCGTTATATCGTTATATTACTGATTTTTCATAAGAGAAAAAATCTGAGGCCAAGCAGCATCGCAAACATTGACCATAGTGTAATGGTTCCACTTTCATCATTGCAGCTGTCCCCGAAGTCGATAAAATACCACATTTGTAAAAAATCGCATGTAAAATAATCAATTCTTACAGAAAATATAGGTTGTCGAATGAGTCAAATTCGGAGTGGTGCGCTTAGTGCTTAAAACTTTAGTTTAGAGACATTTTGTTTACGCTGTCACTGAATTGAATGAGTTACACTCTAGAATATCGAAAAAAAATTAAGAAAAGTTCAGATTTCTACTCCATCTCCGTAAAAAATTAACAGTTATTTCAAGTAAGTGCTTGAACTTTATTGATTGTACACAATTTGTCGGAAACTGTATAAAAATTATTCGTTTATCAAACGTAGTAACTTGAACATTTGGAAAATCTTTCAAATGTCACATAAAAAGCGCCACTGAAGGATGTAAAAACATACAGTGTTTTTGACAATAATAAAATACACACGTTTTTGTCAAATACGCGAATAGAAAACCCTGGTTAATATCTTACGGAGTAGAATTATGTACGTAGGTCCCAAGTGATTGGGGAGAATGCATCTCTCTACCGCGAATTTCACTTGCAATAATATTGCCAGCAATATTATGACCGACTGAGAGTTTCGACGTGACTCGGTACAGTCATAATTTCCTTCTGGAATGATTCCTTTTATGATGTGGAATACCATAGCGAGTCTGCCTGGGCGGTCTGGAAGATGTATATGGGGAAAACGGCGAATGTTGCAAAGTATCAAAGGTAGTCAAACTCATTAGTATAGTCATGAAAATGCGTACATGTATGTTACGTCATGACGTGAGTTTGACAATTGGGAGACCATTTTCCCCCGGATTGAAGTGCTGACAAACCGCATCGAAGTTGCCAGAAACTTCGGAAAATCTACATGATAAGTCTCAAAATTGAGCGTATTTATAGATCTCTCAGGGTGTCTATTCGAAAACTCCCAATGCGAATATCTCTAAAAATAAAGGAGTTTGAAAAACACCGTTTGACCCAAATGTTATTGAGTTAGGGGGAAGAAGAATTCTCCAACGTCAAAATGTCAAATGGTCTTTCGTTATACCTCAAATTATAGGTATCTTTCAGTAGTATTCACATGCCCATTTTTTAATGGAAATAAAAGATGTACACTCACTGATATATGGTGGTTTTAGTTACCCCTAGCTCAATAACATTTCATAAATGATAATAATATTAAGATTTCTTTTCCATTTGACGTGTATTGGTCTCGTCAAAGTACACATAAATCCACAGTGTAAGCACCTCGTTGATAACAAAATGGTAGCAACAAAAATAAAATGAGAATACAGCACAAATACACTTTAAAATTATAAAAACAATGTTCAATCAAATAATTATTCAGTAAGTTACTGTATTTATTTGAGTTAGTTATATGTTTTAGGCACCTAGGGAGCTTATTGAAAATAGAAAAGCCTACCACTGATGGACAATTTAATATTGATTTATATTGGCGAAACGGAACATGGAGATCACTGTTTCACGTAGTGTTCATATTGTGTATCCTTTCATTTGAATTAAATCTATTGTTTTAAAAAAGGTAGATTGACAGTTCAAAAATATACATACAGGAGTGTTAAAATTCAGAATTTTCGAAATAAATGCTTACAAGAAAATGTACAAGGAACTCCTGCTACTATACCGATATTTTTTTTTCTGTACAATAAATACATCTGAAGCTAGTGTAGAGTTAGTTACCCTACAAACATATACCATATTTCAACCTTGACGCAACTTGAACATGATATGATGATTTTTGTGCCACACGGCGTTTTTCCAACATATTCGCATTCGAATTGACACCGAGTATATAAATTTGTCCACATACTGAGTCAATCCAAAAATAGGAAACGATGATAGATTTTAATGACTAATACTCACATCACATCATGAATGAAACCATTCCCGAAGAAAATTGGGACTGTACCGAGTCACATTGAAACTCATGTAGCCTCTTAGACTATAATATCGCAGACGTATCGACATGAGTAGATCATTTCATCAAATTACAATCTAGTTCAACAGATATTAAATCTTCTGAATGTGCCATCCAGTGTGCTATTTCCTTATTGGAGCTCATCTATTTGTAGAAATATCGCCAATCAGTCGTTTCTGCAGGCAGGTGCAATTCATTAAATCCTACACAAAAGCAGTATGTCAAGGTAGCTTAGGAATGATTTCAATTGATTTATTTTCAGGCATCTTTTCGTTGATCAATTATTCCAGTTGGAGCTTTGAAAATACAGTATGCTAGTACTTTAGACTATAGAAAATGCAAAAAAATAGGATAGTAGAATATCTCGAGATGGAATGTATTAGTAAATTCTGAGTTATACTTATCACAATTTGAAACAAGTTAAACATTAGAAAATCGAATATTTAGTCGTTCAACACAATTCTTCCCGACATCAATGTGAATATGGAACTGATACCAAATGTTCATTCTATCAAATTTCAAGGAGTTCAGATTGAACTTTAGAGATCACATTAGTAAGTTAAGTAGTGGCTGAGAAACTAGGGGTGTGAACTGCATATATGATATGATATTGCCCTGAGAGGGGGCCGAAACTATATTAAGTAGGCTTATTTCTGAACACCCAATATGTATCGTGGCGACCGAATATT